CCTGTGCTTCGCTAAGGAGGTAAATTACCTACTTTTTGTTGCACCAGTCCATCTTAATCAGCAAGATAATTGTAGTTTAAATCACCGCTGCGCTCTTGTGCAACCTGATCTTTATGTGTTGGGGGTCTAGATAATAGTCTGCTTTCTAGCAAAGGGTGGCTGGTTCTGTTTTCTGCTGCCTAATCTGATGAACAGAACCAGAGAACCGACGCGTAGCTCTGGAAGGATTCAGCCAGCGGTTTTTGTAACAGCTGACTCCTGCAGCTGCCAACTGCTATTAGCGCCTGCCAAACTCCTGATTTGGACGATGCAGAGGCACGCTCACGCGGAGGAACGTGTGTGTGCTGTAATAACGGTGACCTCAGCTCATTCAGTGATTAAACCGTTCTGGTTTTGTAATGGGAGGTCAAGCCGACGAAGGAAAGGGAACACCGCTTTGGCTACTGGAGACGGCCGGAAAACAGCTGGAAACGAACAGAATGAGTAACTGAAAGGGTCGGCTTGTACGTCAGGAAAAGGTCAACCAAAGACATTCGGTAAACGGTCACTGGGTACCAAACTGTCTCCTTTTAACTGAACCAGAGTTAAGTGGACATATCTGCTATCAGAGCACGCACTGAAAAAAACACAAAATATTACCAAGTATTTTTGGTTTAGTTTCTGATGCTTTGGAAATAAAACAAAACTAACTTACAAGTAAGACATAGGAGCTTGTTTTAAGTCAATAATTCCTTAATATTCACAAATAAATGCTGGTTCCATTGGCAGATTATTTCACTCAACATGGGGAAAATATTGCAAACTGATTTATCTGCCAATGGATCAAGAACTTTTACATCAATATTAAGGAATTACTGACTTAAGATAAGATCCTTTATCTTGCTGAAAAGTTACTTGTTGGTTTTCTCATTTCAAGTGAATTAAAAAATTTGCATTAGAAACTAGACCAAAAAGACTTGGATAGATTTTGTGGTGTTTGCAGTGCACCAGAGGGAATGGCTGTTTATGGGGAAGGAAAATGACATGAACATAATCTCAGCCTTCTGTTTCTTTAAAAAGTGTTTCTCTGGGTGCAGTCTAATGGCAGAAACCAGGTGTTAGTCGCACCCTTTTTGGTCTCTAGGCAATGTTCTGGGATTATTATCATTATAACAAAATGTTCATCATACTCCCAGCTGTACTACAAGTTTATGATGACTAAGTGCAACTTGGTGACGTTATCTTTTCAACTTTACTAAAGATGCTTTGAATTCCTGTCGGCGACTTTGACTGATTCTGACTTTTCCTTTTAGAAATATAAGAATATGTGAAAACATTCAGAATATTTTTCTAGCCTTTCAGTGATGGACAGTGATTTAGGAATAGACACAGCCGTCCATGTGAGAGCAGTCGCTTTAAAACTGGGCTATAAAACAAAGACCAGATAGTTTTAAGTCTTTAGCATCTTCCTCTGACTTCATTTTAACATGCTAACATTAGCATCATAACAGCTAGCTTAATGTGTAGCCATTTCAACGGCTCACAGTTGAAATAGTTACCAGGTAGTTTTATTACCTGACATTGTAAACCAATAGTATGAATGGAGCTGAAACGGATTTAGTTTGAGAAACAAGGATGCGGTTAAATGGTCGTTAGCATTGGTAGCATTTCTAGCTAGCAGTGTGGATTGATTGGTGCTTATAACTTATAATGGTATCATAACAGTTACAAATATGGACTTAATGTGAAAACTTGTGAAAGAAAACTGAGCCAGCTGCGTCTACAGATGGTTAAATTGGAAATGTAGCTCATGGTTCACATGATTTATAGCTGTTTTAACTTTGTGCTAAACTGATTTAAGTATTAAAATAAACACAAAAAACATTATTAGCCTGACAGGCATTTAGTGTGCGAGTTAAACTTTTGATTTAGTAGCTTTTCAAAGAGATGGCTCAGTAATCTGTAATCACATCATTATGTTGAAGTAATCGGTAGCAAAGTTCGGTCGCTGTTTTCAGTTTTAAGCAAGTCTGGCTCTATTTTTAGTTTCTTTCCTGAGCGACTTCTACGTACATAAACACGGCTCAGAAATGCAGAAATGTTTTCCTTTCTCCCCTCGCCCCTAAGGCCGCCGGCTCCCTCCTGAACGCAGCCTGTTCACCTCTCATCTGGAGTTTGCATTTCTTCCTGACCTCACTTGGCTCTCTGCACGAGTCGGATTGCTCCTTTGACTCGCAGCAGCGCGGCGCTCTTTCATGAACTTCCCCTGCCCTTTCGTTGTTGGGCTCAGTCAGATGTGTCATGATTGGACAGGCTGTAAACGCTCAGTTTTACCAGCTTTCCCTGCTTTCATGTTTGACGTCTTGTACAGTGGGATTCATCTGCCACATTCCTGGGGAATTAACATGGACATCCTCCACCCCCTCTGCTTCCTGTGCCTCTGAAACACAGGAAGTGGAATACTTAGCAGTCGATTGGCTGAGGAGGGAAAAAGTGATGGCTTGATACGAGACGCCAACATTGAGCTCAATATGTTGACTGTGAGTTGGAACAGCTTTTTAAAACTGGTTACAGCTGCTGCACCAGACCTTTAAGTAGACCTGCTGAGGAGATGAGCAGGAAACTGATTTAACCATTTTACAACCCACTGCTTGGACAAAGATTTTTAACCCTCGTCTTTGAAATGGGGCTGAAAAACTTATCACAATATACACGTTTCATATCAGTTTATTGATTAGTTTCTTGGTTTTAAATATCTGAAATAATTACCAAACTGGTGGCGTGACCTTTGCCCTTTCACCCAGTTTTCACTCCATTCTTTAGTTTTTTATTTTTAAGCAGTTATGAGGCAAAGTGGGGAAACTTGAGACTGCTTCTGCACTAGTTACTAAGCGGGTTGTTGCTAGGTAACCGAAGTTTGGGGGGAACTTGAAACTGCCTGTTGCCGAGCAGGTTGTTGCTAGGCAACCGAATAGTGAGCGAGATGGTTGATTCCACCAGCCTAGCTTATCTGTGTGAGAGAGCGGCTAAAGTCTTTCCTCTGCCTACGTCTCCCAGAATGCTGTGCTGCTCAGTGAATATTTTATCAGATGATTATCTATTGATCTTGTTCATGAATTGATCACACATGAAAAAGTGTGATCAACTAATGATCACAGTTGCCTCATTGTAGATCCCTAAGTTTGCACCTTTTATTTTTGATGAGAGTATATCGGTTTGTTTTTGTATTATCAATTAGATTATTATTTTGGTAACTTTTTCTTTTTAAAACGCTTGCTGTACTCAGCCAAGTTTAACAAATTTAATCAAAAGCAGATTTGGGTCTTTTGATGAAAACCCACCGGATAGATGTGGTCACATTTCCCTTGACATTAAACAGAACAAAGTGGTTATTAAAAGACAAATGTGTGCTGTTGTACATAACATTATGCATTTTTTCATCAATAAAAAATAAAAACTCTCCATCTACTTTAACCACCTGATCATGTTTAAGTCATTCCAGGGGCTTCAAATGGCCCCCGTGCCGCACTTTGGACACCCTGACCTACAGTTACAGCGGCATGCTTTCATTTTAAACTGTTTGTAATTTAGCACATCCGTGTCAATATTTCACAGTCTGCAGATGGTTCATCTGAACCTGACTGACTGCTTCTGAAAGGAGACAAACATCGGAGATGAAGGTGATGATGATGATGATGGAATGAGGAAGGAAATGAGGTCCGAGTCGTAGAGAAGGATGCATCGAAGGGGGCTGGAGGGAGGAAGAGCATAGCACACATTCCTGGCGTCGCGTTGAGCAGAGCTGACGTAAATGCAGTGTGAAAAAGCGAGGCGTTTGATTTGTTCGGAGACGGGTGGAGTCTTCCCCACAAGACGGACGGCAAAACGCGTTTCTGCCGAAGAATCGACCGGAGGAGGGAAAGTCACATCTGGAAAGGATTAATAGTAAAAGTGTGCAGAAAAAAGTCTGCACTTTGTTTTATGTCCACAAACATCAGAGTTTGGTAGCAACTACTTACATTTGCTCAATTACATTTACTTTAGCAACTTTTTTGAATAAAATTTCTGGATTCTCTACGTTCTGAATAAAAAACATGTTTTAACCAAAACTTCAGACACACTTGCAGTTTTTTTTTTTTAGCTTCATAAGTTTTTTGTTTTTTTTTACTGAAAGAAACTGATTTAGAAGAACTTTTTTGCTTGTTTTTATTTTTTGTTTCTAATATGAATAATTGTAATATAATAATTTGATCAGTTACTCAGTACGTATAGTTTTTACACAATACCTTTTTGCTCATGAGTACAGTTTTTGAGTTCTCTGCCTGTTGTAAGCAGTGAATGTTCAGTCAGCAGAGTTTTAAAGTGTCTCGTCTTTTTATTTGGTTCCAGGAAGACTTCCTGTGTTTCACTAAATTCCCTCATGCTTCAATCTGCCACAGAAAAATTCAGCTGACGACAGAAAACTATTTTTATTTAAACACACGGTCATGAACACAAATCAACTTTCTCTTTTGAGTTTTATTTGTTCAAAGCAGTTCAGATTTACTCTTAAAAGGAGATTTTTGTTTTTGTATGGAGAGTCAGCAGTGCCAAATTACAGTAAATTTTTGAAATAAATTTCATTAACTTATTAAACCTGAAAAAATACAGAACTATAATAAACATAGTTTGAAATATGAATTATAGTATAGCTGTTCCTGTACTGAAGCACAAAATGAATAAATTTAAACGATATAAACATTAGGGGAGATCCTGACGTCTGATTGGCTGCTTCAAACAGCAAGTCAAAACAACTTCTTAGAAGTTTGTTACCACTGTCAATATTTTCTCTGGAAGTGTGGAAACAACTTCAATAAATCATTTATTTTCTAGTACAAACCGTCTCTAGCTTTGTCTGAAATAGTTCTATTAATTTCTCCAGGCTTAGCTGATGTTAGCCCCGCCCACTAGCTAACACCAGCTAACGCTTTCGCGTGAATTATTAGTTATTTTAGAGCAAGGCTGGAGTTTCTCACCAAGAGTTTTTTGTAAATGTATTGCAACAATTTAAACATTATTGAAGCTGTTTCTGTGCTGTGCAGTACAGATTTTGACCTCAGACTGGGAGGAAGTTGTCTTTACTTGTGGTTTGAAGCAGCCAATCAGACATCAGGGTCTCTATAAAAGCAGCTTTGACCCCGCCCACTGAGGTAGATGGACAAAGTTGACAGTTTTAGTTGATTCATGATGTGCTTCAGAACAGGAATGTTGATGTTTAGTTTTCTAAAATTAAATCACTTTATTTAAATGAGGCACATATTTTAATTCTATGTATTTATTTCCAGTTTTACTAAATTAATGGTGCGCTTCACCCTCCGTAGTTCCCCATGTATTGTTCTCGCTCTGGGTGGTATTTATCCTCCCTGACTCCTCAGCTTATTGCCACCCTGTTGCCCTCATTACCTCCTTAAGGAAGTTAGAAAGGTGGTAACTTCAGTTTTTACTTCCTCCTTAAAAGCTGCAGAGCCTTTGTGATCCTGCATTCTTTGAAGGATTAATATTTCTAAGCTCTTGGTTTCCTGGTGAAAACAGTAAAAAGTAGTTGCTTTGTTGAGCCTGTTATCACAAAGTGGATTCAGTTCGCCAGTGAAAATCTGCCAGATATTTAAATTCTCTGGTCCGACGTCGTAACAACCCAACGGGCCGAGTGAAGAAATGGACGCCAGGTTTCTGCGGTGGACAATGTCAACACAGTTATGCAACATTGGACTGAGAGATATGCGTTGCCCAAGTCTCAGCCGGTTTCTGTTGACACACAGCAGCGAGATGTGGCCTTGTGTTCTGGTGAAATACTCATTCTTGGTGGGGAAAAGGCCACAAATATGGCTGACATGAGCTGGAGTTCATCCTGGATACGGCAGGGATGTTTATGCTGCGAACAGAGGAGGGCAGAGAACCCAGAAACTACTCGAGTAAGAGCAGAACCACTTCAACACGAGTTTCCTCATGTGTAAAGTGGCAAGAAATTAAGTATTTAGTAAAAAGTCTACTCAGTACTGAGTAACTGATCGAATTCAATCATTTAATATTTTAAAATGACATCATTAGACGGACAAAAATATAAACTTAAGTGGGAATTTTGATATTTTATGGACAAAAATTCATATAAATAAAAATGTTTCAAAATCAGTTTTTTAGTAAAACACTTATGAAAATGTTCAACTTTTTAAATTTCTGAGTTAAAATTTCCACTTAACTTCATATTTTGGTTTAATTATTGATCATTTGATCAGTTACTCAGTATTTGAGTAGACTTCTTACCAAATACATTTTTAATTTGTGTAAAAATATGTTGAACAAAACAAAATCAGGGAAAAAAGTTTTTCCAAATCAGTTTCTTTCAGTAAAAAACTGAAACTTTAACAGAAACTGCAGGTCTGTCTGGTGAATTTCTGGTTAAAACATGTTTATTTTTCATACAGTGGGTAGGAAACCCAGAAATTTTACTCAAATAAGAGTAATGATAAGTCATAATAAAATTATTCTGACTATGGAGGAGTACAAATACTCCTAAAAGTAATTTTTTTTCCATAAAGTTAGTGTAAATGTAAGGGGTTACTGGAGGACTCTGGTTCTTGGCGAGTGTTGTAAAATGTATTCTTCAGTTTTAAGCCATTTTCTCGCTGATCCTGATGTAGACTAGATGCTCGCGGTGATCATCGCAGCGTTTTGACCCCTGGCGGGACTCGGCGACCAACAAAGGCAGGAAGAGACTTGAATGAATGGAGAAATGGCCGCTGCAACTGACATTTAGCCTTTCGTCTAGTTTTTCCTCCCACCCTCATTTCCTTTCTCTCTTTATCGTTTAAACCTTTGAGTTGTGGAGAATGAAATGCTAATTTGTAAAATCTAGAATGCATCATGTAAGCAGTAATGCGAGATTAGATGTTTTGTTTTATGGGCCAAGTTGGTATTTTCCAAAAATGAAACTTGGGATTCAACTACTGTAGCATTTTTGGTTTGCTAGCTTGAAACACAAACAATTTCCACTCTACAAGATGTTTGCATCAGATTTTTGCTGTTTTTTAAAAACTTTTGGACAGTTATGATGTGCAACCATGGCAACAAGGAGGTGTTTTTACAACCTGATGTCAAAAGCTAAAATAATACCTAAGCTGCAAACCCAAAGCTGAAAAGGAGGCTTCATGCATGCAGAGAAAGAAGTTGTTCAAGTTGACTTTTCCACTGGTCGTATTGGGCAGGGATCATATCCCCTACTCCAGTGTCGCTGTAGCCATTCAACCAGATGCATTTAAAGAGGAGCAGCAAAAGCAAAAAATGAGGTGGATTAGCTGGGTTTGCTAACAAGTGCTAGTTGTTGAATAATGCTAATCTTTTGCTGAATGCTTGCAACCATCTGCCATTTGCATTGGTATTTTCTTTGTTCTTGGTGAATTATTTTCCCAATAGTTCACATTAGGATATTTGCCTAAACATGCTAGTTGTTCCCTTTACTGCTTCATTCGTGCTAATCTTTACTGTCTTTGTTACTTTTAAAGTAATTAATGTTGTGATTAGCCTTAGCATTCAGTGTAATCCAGTATGTCATTAGCTTAGACATGCTAGGTGTTAGCTTCTCAATGCTACTAGTTGCATTAAAAAGGTTAATCGTTAGCATCCTGATGCTAATAATCTAGTTTGTTGTTTCACTTGACATGAAAGGTGTTAGCTTAATGCTAACCTGCAGTCCAGGTCAAATTAGTTGCTGGCTTGTGATTGGTCACTGCCAGTTGCTTTATCAAAACAGCGTGATAATTGGTCCGTAGAGAAAATATGAAGCTATGAGCCTCTTTAAATTGAACAATAATTTAAATGTTTTTAACTTTTCTGTTTGGTGCACTCAAGTGTCGGCAAATTATCTACAAATATAAAATTAAATCTGAACAACTTCTAACATTTAACAAGAGATAAAACAGTTGTAATGTTTAAAATGTAGAATATCTGCTTCAGTCAGCATATTTTTATCACGCTGAAGGATGAATGTTCAGTTCAAACAGCAGCCATAACCATCACTGTTTACAACCAAAGCTCCAATCAAGAAGCAGCTGCTTTTGTAGAAACGACCAGAATAGCAGTTCAGACTTATTCCCATTTGAAACGGCTTGTATCTGGTTAATTTTTTTTTCTACACAGTAAATGTTTGACAAGAGGAAACTATTCGTCAGATTAATCTGATGGGAACGCCCAGCCATGATGAATAATGCAACCTTTACAGAAAATCCTTCCCAAAAATCTGCTTTAAATCCAAGTTAATTCAGACAAATTAAATGTCACATAAGGACGCCGTTCAGCAGACCTTAAAGTCGAACAGTTAAAATCCTGTTTGTGCACTACAAAAAAGTATCTTTGATCTGGCTTCATCAATTCTTCTCTCTTCGCCAGGGCCGAACAAAATCCTTTTGAGGGCCACAAATGGCCCGCGGGCCCCGCTTTGGACACTCTCCTAGATTTTATTGAAAAGTTATTTGTACGTTTGTTTTATTGATTTCAAGTGAAATAAATATGTTTGTACGGTAAAGCAGATTAAAAATACTTGGTAAGATGTTTTTTTTTTTTTTTTTTTTTTTTGTGTTTCACTTGAAGATACAAAAACGTGACACAGACTTGGACAAAAAGTCATGTTGCCCTTTCCAGCTGCAGTTATCTCCATATTTTCTCAGTTATTTCCCCTCCAGTTCTTTCCTTTTGTTTCTGTTTGCTGCTATATTAAGACTCCTCAGTGAGCGAGGAAGCTTGTTGAAAACAGTCTGTGTTAAGTTGTTGACTCACATAATGGTATATCTGAGGGGCATTAGGCCAGCCAAGAAGTACACAGCAATTACGCCTGTGTGTGTGTGTGTGTGTGTGTGTTTGCTTCAGACTACCTGTCAGCACACGAAGCAGGAGCAGAGGCCCCCTCTGTTTCTGTGTTTGTGCACACATGTTAATGATCACCTGTCCAGACTTGAGGAGATAATGAGACCGGAGCAACCCCTGCTCTGCTGTGGGGCGTCGATCTTCCCGCTCTGGGTCGCCGCCGCTCCTCGTTTCGGCCTGCTTGTTTCTGTTTTGGAGGATTTTTATTGTTTTTCTCTTCTCCTTCCTAGCTGTCTGAGTTGTGCAGATGTGAAATTGCGCCGCCTGCCCGGTTGGGCCTGCGGGGGACGGTGTCCCATTCCTGCACTGCTGCTGTACAGTAGCGAGCTGCAGATCTGGTTACGCCACCGTCTGAATGGGCCTGCAGGAACCCGGCTGTGAAATCCACACCGCGCTGAGAAAACACAAAATCTAACCAAGTATTTTGTTTAGTTTCCACTGCAAATGTCTTGGTACACTTGAAATAAGACAAAGCTAACTGATAGAAGACCTTTCAGATATAGGAACTTGTTTTAAGTCAATAATTCCTCAGTAGTGATGAGTAGTAGTTCACTTATTTCACTTATCAGCCCCTTGCATGTTGTTTTACGTCTGAGAATTTTGCTCATGCGCACAACGTGGGAGGACAAAAACTCGATTTTTACTCACCACCCGTAGCCGCACTCTGAATTTAATTGAAATGAAACGCTGAACTCCTCATCACATCTACATGTTAGTGTTGTCATAGTCAAGCTAGCATAACTGAACTACTTCACTCTCCCTCGCCATTTTTTTAATTAAAACCTTTTCCTGACCTCGTTATCTAGTTGTCATAATGTTGACAATTAGTAGCGAAGCACTGCATGCATTTTTATTTTATATGTCAGGCGTATATTTAAAATTTAGCATTGTATTGACAACAGCTAAAACCAATGCTAGTCATCGTTAGCCAGCAGCTAGTGAGGAGATGGGGTAGGATCAGGCTGCACCCGGTCGGTAATGTGGGGAAAAATGTTATCAGTGAAATAATCTGGAACAGGAACTTTTTCATCTATATTAAGTAATTATTGACTTAAAACAAGCTTCCTTTCTTGCTGAAAATGTATTTGTTTGTTTTGTCTTATTTTAAGTGTACTAAAATATCTGCACTACAAAATAAA